TAAACGAGACGATTCCTCCATCACTTCATGTGAATTACGAAGGAAAAGATAAGCAAGAACACGTAATTACATATCAGAGCTTTGTAACTTATCCTTCGAAGTTCCCACGCTTTGTACGTACACTTTGTAATTTTAAGCTTGCAATTATCTGTACCACGTGTTTGAGATCAATTGCGATGTCAACATCATTCGTGTCGAGATATGTTTAGAGCGAGTTGCTGTACTAAAACTGTGACTGAACGAATGTATCGAGAAAGAAAATAGATATTCGTAGGCAATTTTAAATACACGTGAGTAAGAAAAGTATTCGGCCAGTTTATATAATACATAAGTACCAAGTTGTAACACCGCGATGCTCGATAGTTGAAACTCAATGTCAAAGTGAGCAACTTAATTTATGAACGACTAATTGTAAGAGATCTTATATAACCAATCTTTTAGGAAGTAGATAACAATATATAGTACAACGAAGATATAACACACAGTATACGATCGAATCATAAATAAACATTTTCAAGATATAATCTCGGATCATACAATACGGTCGTGGAAACCTACGTTGAAATGATAAATATCTTACGTTTAGACACAGGCAGACATCTAATGATACACGCAATGATCCAATCGATATCTACGATTTAGAGATTGATCAATATCGTGTCCGGGGCAAAATATTGTAAAATTCGTAGTTTCGTCGACGATAACGATCACTTACAATTCGATTATAAATTTAATACGTTTGGCATATTCAAACGATTAACTGTGTACGCGATACTACGTGATACTACCCACACGGTATCACGATCCGATCATTCGATCGTGACGATTGATCGGCCAATTATATAATAGAGAATCGAATTTCCATGAGAGAGATTAAGTCAAAAATGAATTAAGGAAGCGATTCTTTGCACGAAGGTCAATCGAGCAAAGTGACGTGATGGAAGAAATGATGATGAGAGTGAGAGCGAAGGGAAGAGACAGAGGGAAAGAGAGATCAAGTGGAAACGTATGTTTAAAACAGATAATCTTGTAAACAAAACAGATATGTAATTACGCGTATGAACAGATAAGCGCAAGCAAATACCTGACAAAATAAAGCAAGAGAAGAAATAAGAGAGAGAGAGAGAGAGAGAGTCGCAGGTAAGCGGGCAGGCAGCTGAGCAGACAAGCAAGGAAGCAGAAAAGCAGGCAGGTAGATAGGCGAGGAAATAGCAGACGGTAAGGTAGGCAAGCAATCGAGGTTTACTTGGACTGGCGATCGATAAATTCGCGCTTGCTCCGTTTAGCGTATGTTCCCGGTAAAAGTACCTAAGCGAGTTTTAAGGAGACAAACGTGATGCATGATCGAGATCAGTCGCGATGTAACCATAGCGTGAAACGGCCTCGCACCAGGCCACCAGGCTTACACCACCAAATGCGTGACGACGGTTGATTTTCTTTTTTATCAGAATCAGACACAGTTTTGAGAACGTTGAAAATCAGATTTTTCGAGTCTATGATTCTGGCCGAGATTCGACATTCCATCGAGGATCCCCTTACAGAGGTACAGGTATGGTCAAAGTATCAAATGTACATTCAAGCATGTCTTTGTTCTATAATATTCTTCTGAAATTCATGCGATTTCTCGTTTGCCGAAATACATCCGTTACGTAAACAGCAGGGACGCCAATCGATATCTTACAATTGGCAAAATGTACTTTGGGATATTGTTCACCTTCTCTCTTTCTCTCTTTGTGTGTGTTCTTCTTCCCTCCTCTCATTTCAGACACTTTTCTTAACGACAAAGCAAACGTTACGGGAATTTGTTGTATTATCTTTGCCCGAACTTTTACCTGAAAAAGTAAGTTGATTTGAATAAATCGTCGTATCTGTCAAATATCGAAATATTTCTTGATTTCAAATAACATTCAAATAATTCAAATAATTCAGCTTTTTCTTCTGACATGAAATTATCACAGCCTTGGCTATCAGGATCGTTTCAACGATGATCATATTCTTGCGTGATACGGAACAGAAACGAAATGTAGGTTGATTCAATAGAACGACCGGTCGGTCTTTTCTTTTTTTTTTTTTTTTTTTTTTTTTTTTTTTTTTGTGCAAAATGACTAATTACAGAGATAAATGAGGCAATGAGAAATTAGTCAAAATGAATAGAGGAGGAAGAACAGTGATAACGGAAATAACAAGTGGCAATAGACAACGTGTCGAGTATAATGTGTGCTTCGATCGAATCATCGAAAATAGTTGGGTACGAGCGAGAGTGCAGCTTGCAGAAATCGCAACGTCAAATCCAACGTGATTGCGATGACTGAAAGCCAGCGTGTTTTAATTTTCGACGTGCCTTACAGTTGTTCCGAGCGAATCAGCTTGGAGATATCGTCCCTCGCTGGTTACGTAATTTGCTCGATTCTTGTCCTGAAATACAACTGCAACGAGCGAACATTTAGACAAGCGTTATCATTCTCAAAGGAGAATGGCTATATATCCGTGGCAGCGAGTCGCACGGGGTCCTCAGTAGAAGATGATAGAGGACCAAGTGCATCAACATCCGGTACGACTACCTCCCGACAAACACGCCCATATCGATGTTACAGGAGCCAAAATTGAAAAGTATGTTCAACGATTAACAATATTTCATTTTCAATCACAAGTCTCATGCGCAACTTGCATACCCTCGAGTCGTGCACGATAATAAAATAAATTGTGAATCGATGGATCACGTAAACCATGAACTTCAACGAACTACTCTCTGAACAGAATTAAGACATAACTGTCGATTCGATCACGTTCTTGCATTGGAATTCGATTTTTTTCGCATTCATGTAGATACGTGTACACGTTGCAAATGTACGACGTACATTTCTTACATTAATTTCGTTTTTTCTTGTCTCGACAGTGATCAATGTCAAGAACCTCTGCTTTCCGAAAAGCAAACTTCCCACAGGCTAATGTCAGCTCGTGCTCGTTCGCGCACTATCTCAGAATCAACAATCGGAAACGCGATCATGGGCACAACTTCGGCCACGAGTACGAATATGGTCGCGGTGACGGCTATGGGAACGGGCACGAATGCGAACGCATGGATGGACACCGTTGTCGGGGTGAATACCACCAGCGAATCCGCCGACAAATCGGCCGACGAGGATTGCGTCGAGGTGCCGATATTCGACGAAGGAACCACGGACAGCGGCCGCCTTCCCGACGTCGTCGCTGAAATTTACGGCGTAAACGAGGATGAACCCCTTGAATCGTACTTGGCGATCACTATCCAAGTTTTTATACCGTTTCTTATTGCCGGCCTTGGCATGGTTGGAGCTGGATTAGTTCTAGACTTGGTTCAAGTATGAACACATTTTTTTCTCTTCGTACACGCACATTTCGTGAGTCGTCCTCTTTCATTCAAGTCAAGATCAATCTCTTCTTTACTTTTATTTCCATCGTCCGTCGATCGATACTACGATACACGCTTACGATCTTTCTTTCTTTTCTCACAGCATTGGGTTGTGTTTGAAAAAGTGAGCGAACTTATCATTCTGGTGCCAGCACTGTTGGGTTTGAAAGGGAATTTGGAAATGACTCTCGCATCCCGCCTTTCGACTCAGGCAAATCTCGGACACATGGACACGCCGAAAGAACAATGGCACATGATCGTTGGAAATCTCGTTTTGATTCAAGTGAGTCTTGATTCACATTCTATTTCTGATTTTTCCTTGTTTTCTATCCGCAAATATTATCTCACTGTATGCTGTCTCTTTTTCCCTAACTTATGCCTCTATTTCTATCTCTATCGCTAATCTAACATCTCTATCTCTTTCTCTATCTCTCTTCCCCCTTCCTTCTAACTGTTCTTTCAGTTATTTTATATTTTTCAGTTTATTATTTTTCCACTCACATCTTCTATTGTACCTTCTGTACCTATTTCGTTTCTTTCGTTTTTCATTAACTTAGGCGACTTATTTTCACAAATTTTAAGAATTTTCGACACATCACTACGACCATTTACCGTCACGAAAATTATTCCATGTCAAATATCTATACTGACTCGCAGATGTCTTATCATTGGCGCCACAACTTTATTTGATTATATGTTCAACGCGACAACGGTAAATGACCTTCAAGAGCAAATGTCACGTTTCTTGCACTTTTTTCGCCGAAACGTACATTTCTTTCTGCTCATTTTATTTCATTTGTTATTACTGATCTTCTACTTATTTTCTACGAAATCTCACTCTTTAATTTGCTTTAGTTAGCTTGATTGTCGAGCTATTGTTCTGGAAAAATATTAAAAGCATTCTAATAATAGACAAGTTATATTTGCATTTTGAAATGTTATTAATATTTGTAATAACCACAAAATATCCTTTAAATATTTAATTGAGAACAATACGTTCTTATTTGGAAATCACAAGGAAAGAACAAATCGTATTTCTATAGAATTATGACTTTAGTCCAAGCTACTCTTTACTTTTAACACTAAATACATATATATTGAACGTGTCGAGAATATCAAGCTAATCTTCAATGATTCCCTCTATCAAATGATATCAAATTCAGAGAATCGATAAAGGTAAATTTATTATGTTCTCCCCATGTAGGTTCTTTCATTTTTATTTCCCCCTATCCCTATGGCCAAGCTTTTCAGTGATATTTTTTTATGCAATCATTGCTTCTGCCGTTCGGTGTGATATTTGTGTAAAGAAGATCAGTTCGTGTTGGCAGTGCCAGGCGATAGTGGTTGGATTTCTGGGCTCTGTGGTGGCGATCGTCATGGGAGCGTTCCGAAATGGTACCATCTCGCTGGATCATGCATACCTGTTGTGTGCAAGCAGCCTAGTTACCGCGTCCCTGGCATCATTCGTCCTCGGATTGATAACCGCAGGTGTGATTGTTTTCTCCCGTCATTGTCATATAAACCCGGACAACGTTGCCACACCGATCGCCGCGAGTCTCGGCGACATCACCTCCTTAGCTTTACTCTCTTGGATATCGACGATTCTCTACGAATCGATAAATAAGCAAGACTGGGTCGCGCCCCTGGTGATTGCTTGCTATATCCTCATCACGCCGCTCTGGGTATGGATCGCCAAGAGAAACAAGCACACCAACGACGTTCTTTACTCCGGATGGACTCCTGTAATGATTGCTATGTTGATCAGCAGGTGAGTATCGATATTCCATTTCGTTTAAATGATACTTACGAGTGCCGAGAACGACTCTCGAGAATAAACAAGAAAAAGAAGGCACGAACCGACTATTAAAGTGAACACGAACGACCGCTGTTGTTGGCCAAGCAGTTGCGGTGGTCTGATACTCGAATTCATGGTGTCGCGATTCGAAAACCTGACCGTTTTCCAACCGGTGATCAATGGCGTCGGCGGAAATTTGGTAGCCGTACAAGCAAGCAGGATATCAACAGCCCTCCATAAACAAGCCGAGCTGGGAACACTCCTAATACCACCGGGTCACACGCATCCTGTTATCTTCATTACGCCTATTGCTAATTTCTTTGGCAAAGGTAATAAAATTATGTAACCACTGAAATTCACGCTGCCGACTATGATTATTAAGACACTTGCTGATATTTAATACACGTTGAATCTATTCCTTTTCTTTTTTTTTTTT